ACAACAACCAAGACAGCAACAACAACAACAACAACAACAACAACAACAACAACAACAACAACAACAACAAAGACAACAACAACAAAGACAACAACAACAAAGACAACAACAACAAAGACAACAACAACAACAACAACAACAACAACAACAACAACAACAACAACATATACAACATATACAACATATACAACATATACAACAACCAAGACAGCAACAACAACAACAACAACAACAAAAACAACAACAAAAACAACAACAACAACAACAACAACCAAGACAACAACAACAACAAAGACAACAAAGACAACAACAACAACCCGATTTCTATTCTTCCCCGTGTTGGATTGTCTATTTAGTCTGCTCAAATGAGATCAGGTATTTCCTCACTCCATCGCAGAGTTTTACATACGACTCGAGATAAAAACTCACAAAAACGAACAGTAACTCCTCAAATTTTCTCACAATTTCCCTATCGCCACCAACACGCGTAGTTGATCATGTGCATATTTCCTCACACAGCATCCTACAAAACAGAAGTGGAAACCCCTGCCAATGAACTATACACCGACCACTAGAACTGTCACAGTCGAACCAATCACCACCGTTGTGATGAACTCACCAACTGGAAGCTTCTCAGTCTGCGTCGATGAGTCCAACTGCAGGTCCGGCGATCGCAAGCCGAGTTCCTCACGGCGTGCATCAACTGCCTCATAAAAATCAAATTCTTCCGGGGTCCTGAGAAAAAGAGAGAAATATCCGCGAAAACCGTGCTGAAGATACCAAAAATGTCCAACAGAGAGCACGTCAGAAACATTGTGCACACATGTTAAATCGTTGAGTAAATAATTCCGTTTCTTGCTCAATACTGCGCGTAATCGTGCGGTACAAAATCCTACCTGGCAAGAATTTGGTTTAGATGATAATCGTCGGTCGCTATGGTGTCCACCTCTATTCCCGAGTTATGCAGTGCCTGATAGTAAGTGAACTCATCATACAGTGAAAACGTCAAAGACTTTTACCTCTCGCAGTCGGTCTCTCCTTTGAGCCTCCGCCTCCCTATTGCCGCGATCGTTGAACATACCATGACGGATGACCAGCGCATCTTGATCTACACCGGGATCAAAACCCCATGTCAAAATCCCGCGAAAGTTCAATCCCCGGTATACCCATTTTTTCTCCCGCTTTCTGTAACATTCCTTCCTCGACGCTGTTCAACGTGATCAGGCGGAAAGTGCGCACCTGCCGAGAGTATCTTTGCGCACGCGGAAGATTTTCCTCACCTCAGACTTCTGACCCAACCGATGAGCCCGACTCTGAGCCTGCTCATCATTCTGAGGATTCCAATCCGAGTCGAAGATGATGACCGTGTCCGCAGTCTGAAGATTTATCCCCAAACCTCCTGCCTGATCACGATTCGCGCAAAAGTTGGTATGCACGCATGCACAAATGATGGGTATTTCCCTACCCTAGTAGAAAGAATAAACGCAAAGTAATTCGAATTGGAGGAGTTGAAAAGCTCAATCCTTCTTTCGCGGTCATCAGCACCCGTACTTCCGTCCAGTCGTAGGTATCGGAAATTCCTATAAAAACACGATGACACAATTCACCCGATTAAAACGCTTACCTAAATGTGAGATACAGTTCCAGAATATTCAACAGTTTCGTCATCTGCGAGAATATCAACACCCTATGCCCCGTCGCCTGACAACAGACATACACTGCCCAAGTTGAATGACTCGTCATCTTCACAGACACAGACTGACCATCACAACTACAAATATAGATCTCTCTCATGGGACTAGCAAGAAAATTTTTCTAGTGACACCCAGTTTTTTAGTGACACTTCGACCTACCCTCAGTTTAGGCAAGATACCATCCAAGGCCATCATCTTGCCGCATATCCGAATCAACGACTCGTCGATGGGAAGGTCACTGTCATGGCAAAACAGATACGGATGATTACACACCTACAAGAACACCGATTCTACAACCGCGCACGCCCAGATGATCGATTTGACCCCACCTTTCGCAGCTGCATCTGCAAATTCTGACCGACCGATATGTATTCCGGAGGCGACTCATCCTCCTTACGACTACCCCCTCGAGCATGTGCCAAACCACGAGATTCTATCTCTGTGTACCTAGCGCGCGCCCTCGTAATCGATTGTATCACAGAAGGCAATAACAATACGCTTACATTCGTTTCTGGGAGCTCGTCATTTCACACCAGACAATTTGCTCCGTCTTCTTCGGGAGCTGCGCCTCCACTTCATTCTTATCTCTTCTCAACACAAAAGGTCGGAGGACTTTATGCAACCTATAAGCTCATGATGATGATGACATCAAGCGTCACTCGCTCATCAGGCTCATCAGGTCAGCAAAGATTTACCTGTCAACCACGAGGAGCTTCTCCTCCTCTCCTATACTCTCCCATATCTCCTCCCCGCTAGCCTCCGAACCTTCTGAACCTGACAATCCGACCATTGCAATAACAATCGACATACCCCTGTACGGGGAGACCTACAATCAACGACCTAGAGAGCCTTTCTGTGTTCGTGCTGTACTAATTTATTTCACGGGAGCTAGTGAATAGATCTCCATAAACCATAATTGTACCACAAGGAAATTTACTAGCGACAACGACAAGGTCATGATATTCACTCCACACGACGCAGCCTAGAGATATCCAAGCAATAGTTCGTCGGGATCAACTTCAACTTCCCATTCCTTCAAAGTGATACTGTTCTCCCAAATACACATGCACTCAGACGTAAACACACAAAGGTAGCAGGCCCTTGCAGAACACTATAAACTATCAAGTTGTAGTTGATCTCAACATTCCTCTTATAGACCTATTCCGAATCTTTCCAAGGCCAACCTACCAGCAAACCAGTTATGGAAAGAATCGGAGTTATCAAAGATGCTGGGCATAAGAAAATTCAGTAGAGCCCAGACCTCCTGAATGTCATTCTGTAGTGGCGTGCCTGTCAACGCCAAACGCCTCTTAGTAATGTACCTGACAACCAAATAAAATCCACAAAAATGCCCTCCCTGGGATTCGAACCCGCGACCTACTGCTTGTTCAGCACTTGGACAAGCTTGGACTTGGGATTCTTCAACCGATGAGCTTCGTCAACAATAAGATACTCCCATGCGAACTTCCTAAAAAACTCCATCAAATCAATCACGCACAGCGAAGAATTCCAAAGATTCTCCCCCAGCAATAACCATCACTCCCACACACAATGACACAAATTCTGTGAAAATTTCGTTCAAAAAATTTCCGATCAAATCCTCCTTCCATTCTCACAGCAGTATGGGAGAATATGCACATGGTCAACTACATTTGTCGGTGACAATATGAAAACTTCGAGGAAATTTCGGGAAAATCTTATTGGTTTCTGTTCAGTTCTACCCTAATTCGAATATATATAAATTCCTATTATTAGTAAGGAAACTCCCGAGCTCAGCCGAGGAGAGCGAACATATATTCCTCCAAGACTGTTCACAGATCTCAGCTCACCTAAGGTACTGCTTATCGCGTAATACGTATGCATCGGTAGTCAACAACACTTGGAACGGCAGCATATACGCTTCACTCGAAGAACAAGTTCCCGACGATGCCGATGCGGTTTGGAAGAATCTGACCGGAAATCTTTTTTACCAAAAAAAGCGAATTAATGACATCTTGTCAATCTTGCATTTCCTCAACTCTAGTTTTTTCTATTATCAAACTGAGCTCTAATTCGAGACGCATATAATCATCATAATCAACAACAACAACGAAAAAACAATGAAATATTCAAATTCGTCGGAAAACCGCTATCTCCAAAAACCAGAAAAAAATCACAAAAATGCTGAAAAATTTCGCGATTCACAAGAAAAATGTGTAAAATTCTCAAAAAAAATATCAATCGCAAATTAGTTTTTCATCTTCCCGCAGTCTTACCTTTCTCGCAGTTCTTTTCGCTGCTGTTTGTTACCATCGTATAAGACAATTTTAAACGAGGGCAACCACCGCTCAAATTCTTGTTCCCAATTGCTCCTCAGCGTGCTCAAAGGCGCTACTATCATATGCGGACCTTGAATACCCTAATAACAACAAAATCTTGCAATCTTGCATTTCCTCAACGCTCTCATCTCACCTTATGTTCGTGCAGGTAAGCGAGCAGTGAAATGGTCTGTACAGTTTTTCCCAAGCCCATACTGTCAGCGAGAATTCCATTCAATTTGTTATTGAATAATGAGACAAGCCACTCCACGCCCTAAATGGACAAAATTGGACCTAAAGATACGCCGAAAAATATCTTTGAGTTCACCTTCAGTTGATAGTCACGAAGCTTGCGGCCTCTTCCCGCGAGAATACTAGGTTGTTCAGTGAGATGCTCTTGTACTGTATGAGTGAGACGAAAGTATCTTAGGTTCACCCATTAAAGATACAAATCAGGTCCAACTCGAGCACCTCTCCTTAGCTTGTATCAATGAATGCTTCGAGGAACCCAACTCTTCCTCCTCCTCCTAAACAAGACATAAAAATCACATCAAATCTACAAGTGCATAAATTCAAACAATACGAAGGCAAAAAAAACAGAAAATTGCGGGAAATATAAATTAATTTTTCAACTACCTCAAATTCAGCCGCAAGATTCCAAGTCATTTCATATCCATAAATTGCCAACCCGACCAAAAAGCTCCTCTACTCGACACCGACGGAATTTTCCCACCAAAGCTGTGCGCGCGTTTCCGATCGATACTTCCGTATTTTTTTTCAAATAATAATAAACTTATCATCTTAGGAAATAATACACATACTCAACGAGAGAGAAAATTCTTCCGCTTCTACTTGTGGAAAAAACACACACAGGAGACGATCCAACTGAACACTCCTTCCAGTATCAGACCATTTCACACCGCAGAGAGTCTATGCAACTGTATAGAACCCATACGACATAGCAGATAGTGTACTGTCCTCAGTCCTTATCATCATCATATAGGTATAAAAGTAATATATATCAAAACACATATACATTCTGCGATGTCGTCCTGTAGCATCCCCGTCCATCAAAACATAACCATACAGGACAAGTCCTCACCCATACAGCTTCGCTTAAAAAATCAAATCCCTCGGAAACGGTAACTTTTCCAACACTAGGCTCACCATATGCTCCAGCTGATTCTCCAATACAGTATCATCAACAGCATCATCAGCAGCAACCGCCGCCTTCTTCTGCTCAAGAACCCTGTCACCGAGCCTTTCAATGAACTCAGTGGTCTGGGCTATCAGCCGGGCCAGTCTTGTGTTCCCCGACTCCCCTAGCAGGCGGAGGTATGCCTCTTCGTCCTGAGACCTGATGACGAGGTCGTGGGTTCGAACCCCGGCGAGGTCACTTTCTCCCCACAACGTGAGAATCTCTTCAACTAAAACTATTACAGAGGTCGATTAACGAGCAAACCTCAAACCCGGCGGAGCGGAACGATTCATGTACTGCACTTTTCACACAAACACGAGCAATGTTGAGACTATAGCACAGGTTCGATCCCCCCAAGAGGTGTTTTTCCCTCACCTCAGAGCCTGCATCCTTTCCCTTTGCATTGGGTCAGTATCAGCCTCTCCCATCTCCTCACGCTTCTTAGCTCCCAATTTTTCCAGACAGCTGAATGCCGTCCGCCTCGTGAACTCACGCAGCTGCCGATGATGCCTACCCACCACAACACGATCCCATAGCCGAACAGTATGCGCCACTGTCAAGCATCCATAGACACCATTCCCGCGCAGGTTCGATCCCAAGTCGTCTATTTTTTACTCACTCTAAAAGACTCCTCCTATGTTGCAGCATATCAGCTAAGAACCTAAATCAACTCCATGACAACCAATCTATACCAAATCTTGCAATCTTGCGCTCACTTGCCATTTCCGCTGTTTTTCTCTTCCTTTTCAATTCTACTTCTGTCCCTCTGAGACATCCTCTTGCTTTTCGTAGATCTCTCCACCACACTTGGGGGAAGATGCCAACTGTGTGAGAAAGACGCCATCACCACATTTTGCACGCATGCACATGAGGATACCTGTTGTCTTCCAATCTCACGATCGGCAAATACTTCATTATCATTTCTCTCCTCAGCTTCCTCTGAGCTTCAAACACTCGACTTAACTACGGGTAAAAACAGTCGAATCTTCTCTCCAAATCGGAAAAATTCGCCCGAATAAAATCGTCCAAACTCAGAGTTGGTACATAATAAGATCACCTTAACAGGAGATGACTGATCTGTCTCAGGCAGTGTCGGCTCCGGTTCACAACCCGGGTGCAGCATTTCCGCACGGGTTCGTTTCCTCCTCTTCTCATTTATCC